ATGAGCTCCCCCTGGAGATACGGAGGATCCCGGATCTGCGCACCTTCCGCCGCGCTGTGAAGACCTTTTTATTCCAGCAGGCGGGCTTGGCCTAATCTCTTCCCTTTTAAATATGTAAATTTTAATCTGTTTTTAAATTATTGGGGTGTTTTAATCTGTCTGGGCCAAAATAATTTAATTTGATTTTATCTGGTTTTTAAATTTTTTATGTCTATGTTATTTTATTGTTTGGCTGTTCACCGCCCTGAGTCCTTCGGGAGTAGGGCGGTATACAAATCGAATAAATAAATAAATAAATAAATAAATAAATACAGTACATGTTCTTCGGTGGAGTTAGGAAATTAAATTCGGCTAGGTAGTGTCACTTTGCTAAGCTTTAAATGCTCAGCTGGGTCAAACTTGGTTAAGACTTGGAACAGACAAGAATATCCCAGGGCTGTGAGTTAGATGGGGAAGTTGCAGGGGTGAAATGCTACCGGTTCAGACCAGTTCTGCCAAACTGGTAGCGATGGTGGCACGAGGCTCCACCCACTTGGTTGTCATTACTTCCTGGTTTTAACCAGAAAGTAACCTGTTTTTTTCCCTCTGCGCGTGCGCAGAAGGGGTTGCATATATGCAAAGGGGCCAAGTGCGCGCGCGGCACGTGCACTTCCGAACAGGTTGGGAAGGTAAGTAGATTTCACCCCTGCTTTGAACAGTCACTAAATGAACTGTCGTAAGTCGAGAACTACCTGTATTTGTGGAGAATGGAAGAATTATCCTGGAACAAAGGAAGGAAGCTGATTTCACCAGAGCAGTTTCTGATATATTCCCTTAGCGCCTCCATAACGTACATCTTAGTAACCTTGAAAACTCAGAATTAGTAAACACAAGCTATTGAGAAACCATGTGGAGGAGGGCTTGACTCAAATTGCTTTGACATCTGCGTGTAGTAGTAACAATCGTTTTCTTTTTAAAAAGCCATGGCAACTTGCCTTTTTCTCGCCTCTGTTCCGTTTCACTTCGACAATGCCGATATTTATAGTTGTTGCACAGTGGAATAAAGACACTTGGGGAAAAGAATAGAACCAACAGACTGGGTTGCAAAAATCTGGGTGACCATGGATGGAACCAAAGAGTTATGGGGAACCATAGTGGGGGGGAGGGGGGCGGAGAACAGATCTCTGCTGTTGGTTCAGCAGTGTGGGTGTGCTGTCGTCCATGAACAAGCAGAAACATGCAGGGCAGTCTGAACTAAGTGTTATTATTTCAGGCTTATGTCTCGGTTGCATCTCGCTGGCTTCTGATCAGTTTACAAGAATCATTATGTTGTTCCTGCATGTTTTTTCCCTCAATAGTAGCTAGTTTCTGCTAAATTGGCTTTGGCAATGAAGCTGGCCCCAACTGGCCCTTTGGTTAGCAGCAAGCCAGAGGTGGCAATTACAGTTTGATCTTTTCTAGAGGGGATCATAGGGGATGCGGTGGCTCAGCGGCTAAGATGCTGATGAGAAAGGTCGGCAGTTTGGTGGTTCAAATCCCTAGCGCCGTGTAATGGAGTGAGCTACCGTTACTTGTCCCAGCTTCTGCCAACTTAGCAGTTCAAAAGCACGTAAAAAATGCAAGTAGAAAAGTAGGGACCACCTTTGGTGGGAAGGTAACAGCGTTCTGTGCGCCTTCGGCGTTTAGTCATGCCGGTCACATGACCACGGAAACGTCTTCGGAAAGCGCTGGTTCTTTGGCTTTGAAATGGAGATGAGCACCGTCCCCTAGAATCACGAACGATTAGCATACATGTGCGAGGGGAACCTTTACCTTTACCTTTTAGAGTGGATCATAACTCTTAAGGAAAGATGCTTGCCAGGTCTCGAATTGGTGAAACAAAATTTATTTATTCATTTTATTTATTTTACAGAATTTATATGCCGCCCTTCTCCCGAAGGACTCAGGGTGGCGAACACAGGTTAAAAACATACAATAATAAAAACCCACTAAAACCAGATTAAAATAATAAATAATAAAAACCCATGGATCAGAATCAGCCCATTTGTTGGGATAACCAAGTCTTCAGGCCTCGACGGAAGGAGCGGAAATCCGGGGCTGTCCGGAGCTCGGTGGGTAGTTCGTTCCAGACGGTATGGGCGCCCACGGAGAATGCCCTACCCCTGGGCATCGCCAGACGGCATTGCCTGGTCGATGGTACCCTGAGGAGACCAACCCTATGGGAGTGGACAGAACGGTGGGAAGCAGGCAGGAGATGGTCCTGCAAATACCCCGGACCTAAGCCATGTAGGGCTTTATAGGTCAATACCAGCACCTTGAAGCGGATCCGGAGGACCACCAGTAGCATTGATACGAAGCATTGATATACCAAATAGACATTCCAAATTAGTTGCCTTTGAACATCCAAATTGGATGCCTTTGAACAGGGATGGGTGCTCCATCACTGGAGGCTTTCAAAAAGATACTGGACAACTATTTGTCTGAAATGGTATAGAGTCTCCTGCCTGAGCAGGGGGTTGGACTAGAAGACCTCCAAGTTCCCTTCCTGCTCTATTATTCTATGTTCTATCTTTCTAACCAGTTGAGATTGATCATAACTGAGCAAAAGAAAAGCATCTTCTTCCATGTCAATCTAGGATAATTTGTTTGGAATGGTATAGCATCTCCTACTTGAGCAGGGAGTTGGACTAGAAGACCTCCAAGGTCCCTTCCAACTATGTTATTCAGTTATTTATGTAATTTAACCAAGCATTGAACAAGGCCTAGGAAGTAAAGGTCCTTGAAATTATTTCTCAAATTATATTCACTGTTAAAAAGTTTTTATGCATATTGGTTTCAAGCCATTCTGTTCTTTTGGCTCTTAAATTGTATTTTATCAGTTTTTAACTCACATGAGAGCTTTTTAAAAATAGGTTTAGACTTATGAACGATTGCAATTAATATGTCCTATCCTAATGAAATGAAAAGAATGTAGTGTGCATTAACAAATGTCTTGATGATAACAAATTAAATGTACCATGTTAGGGTTGTTGATTTGCAATCCCTTTTTTTCTGGTTAAGGTGGTTGCTTTTTTTTTAACCCTTCAATTGTGAGACAAATCTTATCCTGCCAACCAAATAACACCATAAGAGCCGTGGTGGCACACTGGTTAGAACGCAGTATTGCAGGCTAATTCTGCCGACTGCAAGTAGTTTGATCCTGACCGGCTTAAGGTTGATTTAGCCTTCCATCCTTCCAAGGTGGGTAAAATGAGGACCCAGATTGTTGAGAGCAATATAACAATAGCAGTTAGACTTATATACCGCTTCGCAGTGCTTTTACAGCCCTCTCTAAACAGTTTACATAGCCAGCCTATTGCTCCTAATAATCTGGGTCCTCATTTTATCCACCTCGGAAGGATGGAAGGCTTGAACCAATAGCAATAGCAATAGCACTTAGACTTATATATCCCTTCACAGTGCTTTAGAGCCCTAAGTGCAGGGGTGGGATTGAAAAATTTCAGCAACTGGTTCGCTGCCTGATTGTGGGGTGGGTGTGGCCATGGGGGTATGGCTTACTCAGCCTCCTTCACCATGGGGGTGGGGGGCGTTTTCACCCTCCACAGGCTCTGGAGGCTTTTCTTGAGCCTCCAGGAGGGTAAAAATGGCCTCCCCTGAGCACCAGAGGCCCTCCGGAGGCTGGAAATGGGCCCATTTCCAGACTTCTGGTGCTTCCGGTAGACCCATTTTTGCCCTCCCAGAGCCTCCATGCATGCCTGCACTTACCTGGCATCCAAAACAGGCTGCGTGGAGACTCCTGGGAGGGGAGGGGCGGGGTGGCCGGGGTCAGCCAGTCCTTGGAACAACCAGTTCGGCGAACCAAATTAAAATTAACATCTGAACCGAATCACCCGAACTGGTCCAAACTGGCTGAATCCCACCCCTGCCTAAGTGGTTTATAGAGTCAGCCTACTGCCCCCCAACAATCAATTTTACTGACCTCGGAAGGATGGAAGGCTGAATCAACAGCAATAGCACTTAGACTTGTATACCGCTTCACAGTACTCAGTACTCTCTAATCTTTGCGTTGTTTGCAGAGTCAGCCTCTTGCCCCCAACAATCTGGCTCCTCATTTTACTGACCTCGGAAGGATGGAAGGCTGAGTCAACCTTGACCCAGTCAGGATTGAATTCCTGGAGTGAGCAGTGAGTTAGCTTGCAATACTGGTATTCCAACCACTATGCCATCCAACCACTGTGCCATCCAAACTCTGATGCTGAGTGCTGTAAAGCACCATGACGTGGTATATAAGTCTAAGAGCCATTGCTAAGTGCGAGGAGCCTGCCCTTAATCAAATCACAAGCAAAGGCTTGTGAGGCCCAGCCTTCCAGATGCATCATCTGAAAATACTTTCCGTAATGGTAACTTGCAGGAGGAGTGCATGGTTTGCTTCTATGTCCTTAGTCATGCACAGGGGTGGGCTTAAAATTTTTTATCAAGGGGTTCTCTGCCCGGTTGCTGGGTGGGCATGGACATTGTGTGCGTGGCCTAGTCAGCCTCCTGCACCATGGTGGGAGGGGGGGTCTTTGTCCTCCCTGGGCTCTGGAGGCGTTCTTTGAGCCTCTGGGAGGGTGAAAATGGCCTCCCCAGGCTCCGGAGGCACTCCTGAACTTCTGGTAGGCCCGTTTTTTGCCCTTCCCGAGCCTCTGCGCACACCCTGCACTTACCTGCATCCAAAATGGGCCACGTAGGGAATCCTGGGAGGGGAGGGGCAGGGGGGCAGGGCGGGGCCAGCCAGGAGTGTGATTTGTGGGTTCTCCAAACTGCACAGAATGTTAGCTAGAGGTTCTCCCGAACCCCTGCGAACCCCCAGCAGCCCATCCCTGGTCATGCACCAGTCCATTGCTTCCAAAGGAATAAGCCAACTTTGATGGTGCATAAGAGCAAGTGGGCATGCCTTCCTAACAGAGACAGGACACAAAAATTCTGGGACATTCATGGTGCTTCCAAGTCCTTCATGTTGCTTCCTCTCCTTTTTACAGGAAACTATGCCACAGACACCGATATTTTCCAGCATGCTCGGGACAGGATGTAGAGGACAGGTGCAACCAGAATCAGGCGAGAGGAATGGCGATCCTATTTATCAGGATGGGAATCTCATTTCTGGATCCCTGGAGGTCCTCATCCAGCATCTGGTTCCCACCATGGATTACTATCCAGATGTAAGTAGACGGTTTATAATGGCACTCATCTTTTTGCTAGATTCAAGAGTTGACAATACAGGTAGTCCTCGACTTATGGCTGCCCAACGTTTCTGTTGCTGAGACGTCTGTTCAGTGCGATTTCTCCGGTTTTACAACCTTTCTTGCGGCAGTTGTTAAGCAAATCACTGCCATTGCTAAGTTTGGAAAAACGTGTTGTTAAGCGAATCTGGCTTCCCCAGTGACTTTGCGTTGTTGGAAGGTCATCAAAGGGGATTGATTATGCGACCGTCATAAATATGAGTCTGTTGCCAAGCGCCTGAATTTTGATCACACGATGCTGCAACGTTCATAATTGTCAAAAATGGTCGTAAGTCACTTTTTTCAGTGCCGTTGTAACTTTCAACGTTCACTAAACGAACTGTTGTAAGTCGAGGTCTACCTGTATTACAGACTTTTGCAAGTGCAGTAAGTAATTTTTTTATTTTTGTCAAGAGCTCCAGAAATAATTAAAAAACAATTCCTTCCTTAGTCCTGGAGTTGTTTATAGGCAGCAACAACTTCCTGCTTTGGGAGAGGATATGATAGACATAAAGTGGTATTTCCTGAAGAAATCTTGCAAGGACAGAGTTGGCATAAGAAAGCCGAACAGAAATCTGGATGAACCCTGGTGGCACAGTGGTTAGACTGCAGTATTGCAGGCTAATTCTGCTCATTGCCAGGAGTTCAATCCTGACCGGCTCAAGATTGGAGCCGTGGTGGCGCAGTGGCTAGAATGCAGTACTGCAGGAAAACTCTGCCCACTGCCAGCAGTTCAATTCTGACTGGCTCAAAGTTGACTCAGCCTTCCATCCTTCCAAGGTCGGTAAAATGAGGACCCAGATTGTTGGGGGCAAGATGGCTGACTCTGTAAACCCCTCAGAGAGGGCTGTAAAAGCACTGTGAAGCGGTATATAAGTCTAAGTGCTATTGCTATTGCTATTAGCTTTATTCCTCTCCTGTAGGTCTTTCTATATAGTGATCCTATTTCTTTTCTTGTAAACGGTGATCCTTTATTTCAAAAAGTTGTCCTTTCGATTCATTAGTTCATTCGTTTGTTCACTCACTCACTCATTCATTTATAAAGAGCCATGGTGGTGCAGTGGTTAGAATGTGGTACTGCAGGCAGATTCTGCCCACTGCCAGCAGTTCGATTCTGACCGGCTCAAAGTTGACTCAGCCTTCTGAGGTGGGTAAAATGAAGACCCAGATTTATTTATTTATTTATTTTATTGAATTTCTATACCGCCCTACTCCCAAAGGACTCAGGGCGGTGCACAGCCATGAAATAAAACACATAGATATACAAAATTTAAAATCGAATAAAATGAATTAAATAAATTTGGCTGAATTAGTACCCATAATTTAAGATATCCATATTTTAAAATACATTAAAAATTTAAAATTTACACTTAAAAGGGAGAAGATTTAGGCGAGGCCAGCTTGATGAAATAAAAGCGTCTTCAACTCGCGGCAGAAGGTGCGCAGATCCCGAATCCTCCGTATCTCTGGGGGGAGCTCATTCCAGATCGTCGGTGCCCCCACAGAGAAGGCTCTCCCCCTAGGGGCTGACAGCCGACATTGTTTGGCCGACGGCACCTGGAGGAGCCCCTCTCTGTGGGAGCGTACTGGTCGGTGGGAGGCTGTTGATGGTAGTAAGCGGTCCCGTAAGTACCCAGGTCCTAAGCCATGGAGCGCTTTAAAGGTGGTAACCAGAACCTTGAAGCGCACCCGGAAGACCACCGGGAGCCAGTGCAGCTCGCGCAGGAGAGGTGTTACATGGGAGCTCCATGTTGCTCCCATAACCACCCGCGCGGCCGCACTCTGCGCCAGTTGGAGCCTCTGGGTGCACCTCAAGGGGAACCCCATGTAGAGAGCATTACAATAGTCCAGACGAGAGGTGACGAGGGCATGAGTGACTGTGCGTAACGAGTCCCGATCTAGAAAGGGACGCAACTGGCGAATCAGGTGAACCTGATGAAAAATCCTCCCGGTCACGGCCGTCAAGTGCTCTTCTAAAGACAGCCGTGAGTCCAGGAGGATGCCCAAGTTACGAGCCCTTTCCATGGGGGCCAATGATTCGCCCCCAATAGCCAGCGATGGCGCCAGCTGACTATATCGGGACATCGGAAACCACAGCCACTCGGTCTTGGATGGGTTGAGCCTGAGCCCATTTCTCCCCATCCAGATCCGTACGGCCTCCAGGCACTGGGACATCATTTCAAGGGCATCGTTGGGGTGGTCCGGGGTGGAGATGTACAGCTGGGTGTCGTCAGCGTACAGATGGTACTTCACCCCGAAACCACGGGGTTTTGCTGGGGGCCAAGAGGCTGAGTCTGTAAACCCCTCAGAGAGGGCTGTGAAGCACTGTGAAGCGGTATGTAAAACTAAGTGCTAATGCTATTCTCAGCATCTTCAGCTGTCATTCATCGCATCATGCTAATGAAATAATATAAAACACAGCTGATCTTGGAAAGTAAAGCAGGATCAGATCTGGTTAGTAAAATGAATGGGATATGTCAAGAAAATCCAAATGTTGTCTGCTAGACTGGAAAACTATAAAACAATTCTGGAAGATGTCAATCACATGTCACCTCTATCTATATTTTTGCCAAGAAAAATGCATGGGCATGTTGCAATCCACAGGAAATGACCTTTGGTTCAAGAAGACCTTCCTTTAACAGACACACACACACACACACACACACACACACTTGTTGTACACAAATATACTTGTTCAGTAGATACTATTTTCTCTTTGGAAATAAGATCTTATTAAAATGTTGGAGATTATAAATTTTAGATGCTTGGGATATTGGGAGGATGGATGGATGGATGGATGGATGGATGGATGGATGGATGGATCAAAGGACAAACAGATAAGGAGATAGATGGATGACAGTCAGATAGAATAAAAGGTATTTTTCTTCCATGCAGTATTTTTAAATGAAAGAAGATTTTTATTTTCCCATTCAGACTTAAATCAAAACTGCACATGTCTTCATATGTGATACTTATAGTATCAAGCACTGCCATTTATTTATAAATGTTTATAAATAAATAAACATTACAACATAGGAGGAGGAAGGTGTGTTGGATACATTGGCTCAATTTGGCTGCCTTTAGAAAGAAAGAAAGGAAGGAAGAAGGAGGGACGGAGGGAGGGAAGGAAGGAAGAAAAGAAAAGAAAAGAAAAGAAAAGAAAAGAAAAGAAAAGAAAAGAAAAAAAGAAAGAAATTCACTTGGAGTACCCTTTTTTTCTCCTGCCATGCTGGCGAGAAAAAAAAACTGCCGGCTCTCCAGGAAAATCCATTTGCATACAAGAGCTTGTTTGGCACCCAGGGAAATGTGGGTCCTCATCCGAGGACAATGAAGCTCCATGTCTGGAATTTAAGAATGGAATGTACTGAACTCCAACTCTTGGTGCCTGACCATTGCGAGCAACTCCTTCTCCAAACGCTCAAACAAATAAACAATTCCAGATCCACCAGCATAAACTGAAGGGCACAATATGCTGGGTTGTTTTTGGTTCCCCCCCCTTCCTCTTTCCCAGAAGATATTTCTATATTCCTGCTCCTTAACTAGCAGTTACTATTTTAGTCTCTCTTCTCCTCGCTCTTTCACCCTCTCGATCTTCCCTCCTTTAATTTATCACGTCTCTTAGCAACAAGTTTAGGCACTGGAGGAATTCGCCTCATTCTTTCCTATTTTGAGCACCCTGAAGCCTTCTTTTGTTCCGTTTCCAACTCATTCCAAAGGATTTTCTTTTGTTTTTGTTTCTGTTTTCCTTTGGCCCCAAATTTGTGTAATCTTCTGACAAACTACTCACAGTTCAGTCTGGGAGTTCAAGGTTTTCTATTCCTTTGGCTCATTTTTAAAATCACAACTGATATACAACACTGCCAGAGTTGGACTTTACCTTCCATCTATGGTGTCCTTCTTTGTGGATGGTAGCCGTTGGTTCAGAGGAGGTCACTGTTTGAGGCACGTGGGGCTTAAATCAAAAGAATGGAAGATACGGTCAATGTTATTGTATAAAGCTTCTAAAGCAAATCAACCCCGACTGTCCTTTGGAAAGACGGAGCCTGAAGCTGAAGTTCGAATAGTTTGGCCAACAAATGAAAAGACTTCTTGGAGAAGAAGACCCTGATGTTGGAAAAGATGGAAGGCGAAAGGAGAAGGGGGCAGCAGAAGGATGAGATGGTCAGATGGTGTCATTGACATGATGGACATGGGTTTGGGTCAGTGGTGGAATTCAAATTTTTTTATTACCGGTTCTGTGGGCGTGGCTTGGTGGGCATGGCAGGGGAAGGATACTGCAAAATCTCCATTCCCTCACCACTCCTGGGGATAGCCAAAGGTGGTATTTGCTGGTTCTCCAAACTACTCAAAATTTCTGCTACCGGTTCTCCAGAACCTGTCAGTAGCTGCTGAATAGCACCCCTGGTTTGGGTGGACTCCGGAAGACAGTGGGAGGACAGGGAGGCTGGGCATGCTATGGTCCATGGAGTCATGAAGAGTCAGACATGACTTAGTGACTGAACAATGAAAGCAACAAAACATAATGATAGAATTTTTAGTAGACCATGGGAATACAGAGCAAGACAGTTAAGAGACAAAACAGAGACATTACAGATTGCTGAATTCGGGTTTGAAAGCATGAAAAGTAACATTTCAATCAACCCTGAATCTTCTTTGGAAGGACAGATCCTGAAGCTGAAGTTCAAATACCTCGGCCACCTAATGAGAAGACTCCTTGGAAAAAGACCCTGATGTTGGGAAAGATGGGAGATGAAAGGAGAAGGGGACAGCACAGGATGACATGGTTAGATGATGTCATCAACATGAGGAACATGAATTTGGGCAATCTTCAGAAGACAATGGAGGACAAGGGAGCCTGGCGTGTTGTGGTCCATGGGTCATGAAGAGTCAGGCACGACTTAGAGACTGAACAATAACAACAACAACAAAATTCCTATGAA